GTTGTTGTAGGAAGTAGCCAAATGGGGATGATTCGGAGGCAGAGCTTTTTCTCTTATTTTAAGTGATTTTTCGTAAAATTCAAATGCTCTCGAGTAGTCACCCATGCTTTTATACACTCCACCGATGTTGCAGTAGGAAGTAGCCAAATGATGATGATTCGGAGGCAGAGCGTTTTTTGTTATTTCGAAGTCTTTTTCGTAAAATTCAAGTGCTTTCGAGTAGTCACCCATGTTGCTATATGCGAGAGCGATGTTATTGTAGATAGGAGACAATGAAGGATAATCTTCTGGGACAGCCTTCCGGTAGACTTCGAGTGATTTTTCGTAAAACGTAATCTCTTTTTCATATTGGCCTTGTTGCCATTTCACTCTACCTAACTGGTGATAGATAAATGCTTGATCACTATCGTCCGAAGTCTGTTCGAGTAACGCAAGATACAACTCTTCAGCCTTGTCGAATTGATTGATTTGGAGCAGCAGTGTTCCCATTCGATACCATCCTGTATCGCTGATCTCTTCGCGGAGGAAATCAGATAATTCATGAAGTTGTGGGTCATCATCTGATGTAAGTTTCAGATCTACTTCATAAATGGAATTGTTCTCGCTGTTTTTTCGAATATCAACAATTCGAAAAATGGTATGCATGGAGAAGAGTATTTCCTCTTCGTCCTTGAAATAACTTTCCTCTCGAATGGAAGCGAATGGAATGGATGAAACCTTGGGGTCAATGGTGATTTGAAAAAGAATACCGACCATGCTGAGTGGTCCTAAGTTACTTTCGGCGAAAAGGCGAGAAACATCGCGATCTGTGGTAGTGGATAAAAAGTTATTGAAAGACATAAGCCCACCTTTGTTTTTTGCGAGCTTTTCAAAATCAGATTTCGGTAGAGCTTGTCCGCGAAAGACAGTAAAGACCCTTCCATGATAGTGACTGATCTGATTCTTGTACAATGCTTCGATTTGTCGATGTAAATCACATAAATAAAACCCCATTCGAATCAACACATCGCTGTTAAGGGTTCTTAATGCACCATTGAGCACCTTGTACGTAAAGTTATGTCTTGTATACCACCATACGGCATTGGATGCTTGATAAGTTCGTTGGAATTCGTCAATAATTTTGAGTTCTTTCGTATTGCCTTGATATTCTTGTTGGCAAAACGTGGCAAAATCTTCCAGAGCTTTTTGGTCGTGCTTTATTTGAAGGATTATTTCCTTGAATTTCTGTGAATACATAAAAGAGGGTTCTAGCTGATTCAAATCTTTGCTAGAACCTCCTTCATTCACGCCAACAATACACACCGATATATTGTCTTGGTTGCACTGTATGGTAGCTGTTGCGAGCTCTTCAAATATAGGTTGGATTGTTGTATGGACACTTTTGATTTTTGGCCAATTTTGAGCCCATAATTGATGTTGTTGTTCGTCACCACGATAGATAAAAATGGCATTCAATGTTTTCATGTGATGGATGTCTGGTACCAAGTGTTGTGCAATTGCACTGGAGGTGATAATGAATGAGATCTCTTCTTCATTGTCAACCAATTGTTGGATGCATTGTTCAGCTGTTGTACATTGATGTACCTGATTGACAACAGCTTTCAATTGTGCCATTGTATTCTGCCAAACTTCATTGACCATATCAATATTTTCGTCAACCCAGATAACGAAGCAATTTTCAGCGAAGCGNCGATCACGATCACGAATTTTTCCCTCAATCACGGTCACGTCACGATCACGAAGAAAACTTCTTTCCCACTCACGGTCACGATCACGATTTAGAAAAAAAAATTTAATCACGCACGATCACGATCACGATCTGAAAAAAAAATTATAATCACGCACGATCACGCTCACGCGTGAACGTGATTCGTGATCGTGACCGTGATTCGTGATTCACGCAGTACACTAAATGTGAGTAGATACTCTTTTTTTGACACTTGTCGAAATTCATACTTTTACCAACCATGATGGAAAACAAAAAATAAATGCGACTGTCATGTTCAAGTGTGAGTACAGAAGATCGACTGTAAATACCTTGAAATTCAAATCTTTCGATCCACACATCTTATGGGCACCTCATATTAGAAATTAGTTAGTTTGGCAATGAGAACATTCATTTGACTTGAATATGATCCATCTCTTTAACTTAAGGTACATGACTTTCCATTGTAAAGAGTAACAGTGAATTTACTTTCTCGTAGTTTATAAAAATAAAAATCATTTATACATACGTAAAATCAGGTTCACCACTAAATTCAAGTGATGTTTGACTTTCACCTTTCTTATATTCAATGGAACAATCAAGTAAAACAATTCGTGGATTTTCGATTCGTCTAAATGACAAAAAAAAAATCAAAAGAACAAATTACAATTCTACTTCATTAATATATCTCAATACCTTTTCATTTTTGGATGAACAACATCTTTATTAAGCATAGCACCTTTAAGTAAATATGAATCTTCTACTGAACCTCCAGGTATCTATATTAAAAAGTAATTTATAAAAAGATCAAAAAAAAAATAAAAGAAATCAACTTTTTCGAAACGAGCATATCGTTTAATATCAATTTCTCGTCGTCCATTTTCCTCAATCATTACTGTTTGTACAGCATCAAGTGATATTTGACAAGCCAAATCACTCCTAATTTTATTTAGTCATTAAAAAATAGTAAAATAAAATAATTTTCAAACATACCATCGTGATAAATATTTTGTTCCAATACAACTTTTAATAACACATAACATTTCATCTCGATTGTTAATATCAACTGGTATACTAGCTTTTGTTTTCATTATTTCAATAGAATCTTCAAGTGCTTTTCGATATGCACGAATAATAACTGTTGCATGTAAACCTTGTTGAAGATACTGTTCAGTTTGAGCTAATAATTCACCAGCTAAATAAAACGATTTTGTTTTCATTTATTCTCTATATAATATGTTGAAATTTACCTAAAATAATCACACTTGTTGTACCATCACCAACTTCTTCATCTTGTGTTCGACTTATTTCAATCATTGATTTAGCAGCAGGATGTTGAACTTGTATCTAAATAAGACATATTAAAAAATAATTTGAAAAACTCAATTAGTCTAATATACTTCACGTAAAATAGCATTGCCATCATTTGTTAAGACAATACCACCCATCGGATCAAGTACCATCTATTAAAGAAAATTTTACTAGAAAATTTATTCAAGAAAAAAACGATAACAAACTTTAAGCATTGCTCGTGGGCCAAGACAGGTACGAATTGTATCTGCAATAGTCTTACAAAAAAGTAGATCATTATTAAAATATTAAAGACATAACAAACAAAAACCAATACTTTGGCAGCAAAAATATTGCTGAATTGAGCTTTTTTTCCTTGATCTCGTTTGGTATTTGCATCTAAACGAAAATTGAAGGGATCAATCAATTCAATATAGATTTTCCTACTTAGAATCATTATTGGTTGAGAGCTACCAGCACCACCGAACATCATTTTTGATGTTTTATTAAAAACTTATCGAATCGATCTAGAAAAAGTTATACCTAAATGAAAGAATGCAAGCAAGAAAACTATATTTATTCCTTTATTTACCATTGAGATCCACTATCATCAGGAAAAGAACTGGATGACTGTTTCTCATTGACCTATCAAATAAAACACAATTACTTAACAAGCGACATCTACAGGATGTCTGAAAAGTCCGCACAAAAATAAAACTTGAAGAGTTCCTCAATAACTCAAGTGATTTACATGGTTTTTCCATAATTTGATCTTATATTCATTGACGTTTTGATTAACATATTGCAGATAGAATGACTGTGTCTATCAACATTAGAATCAAAATAGACTTATTATTAGTCAAATTATAGTTTTCAGGAGTGTAACTTATGTGAACGTGACAAACACCTTTCTCCATGTCATGAAAATCACGGCAGCTTTGAAGATTTTGAAAAAAAAACTGGCGTAATATCGCGATTACGGTACAATAAAGATTTTTTGAAAATCGGCTATAAATCAGTGTCATAGATCGCATTTAATCTTTCGTTGTTGTTGTGAGATCCAAATGGATCCACTTTACAGTTTTTCATCTAGTACTGCATGAAGATTTGTTGTTGCATATAATTTCTCTTCTCTATTCTTTAGTAGTTACATAATATCTTGACAGAGAAAAAATACTGCTGTAGGTCCACATGTATCCTAGAAAACTAAGGGTGTTATAGGCATAATAATTTTATTTGTCTTTGTAAAACTGTCATATTTTGTTTCCTAATTGTTTTTTTTTCAAATAGATTCTTTTGTACGTTCATTATTAATAGTAGTGATTCTCATTTTCTTTATAAAGTGTGACATTTGGATTGTTGTTTTTATCAAAACCACATTACATTGTTAATCTTTAGACAAATGTTGAATTCTGATTCTTGCTAGTGAGCTACGATGGACTAATGCCATTTTAGGTATTATAAACATAAATCAAGCAACTACACGAAAGTCAAAGAGTGACAGATAATTTTCTATACAAACCTATACCCTAATTTATTATATTTTAAGATCTCTGTTTATCAATATGAGAAGAAGGTGATGCATATTATACGTTTCTTTTTTTCAATTTAGATTAATAATAGTTTTGCATAATGTTTTTTTTTCTTGTCAACATCAGCTATGATGCATAGTGTGAACACCATAGGTTTCGAAAAAAGAATTATTTTTTTCCTCTAATATGTATGGATGAGAGAGAAAAAAAAAACTAAAACAACCTTTAGTTTCTCATTTTCTTCTTGCATCAACTTACTAAAAAAAACAAAACAAAAGTAGTAATAATAAAAGATTGATAGATATTCTGTTATGACAAATAGTTTATCATCAAAATCACAAACATCACACTTAACGATGACTCCATATAAACTGCATAAGGATTCATTCGTTTTTGCTAATGGTGATCGATATGATGGTGAATATATTATTACAGACGCATGTCAAATAATGCGCCATGGTCATGGTAAATATATAAGTGCTAATCAACAATGTACTTATGAAGGTTCATGGAATCATGATAAAATGCATGGAACAGGACAATTAACTTTTGACAACAGTACATCCTATAATGGAGAATTTCAATCAAATTTTTATAATGGTTTTGGCATATACACATGGCCAGATGGTTCACAATATAAAGGTTTATGGAACAACTCAAAAGCAGTGGGTAAAGCAGAATATTATGATTCCAATTTGGGTGCTTCATTCGTTGGTATGATCGACGAGCAAGGGATACAAATGCGATATAAACTTAATTGTGCATAAATAAATAAATAAATATTTCTTTATTGTTTATAGTCCATGTATAGTGGCGAACATAAGTTTAAAGCAGCTGTTTTTTCAAGTTTTCTTTTGTATGATAATAGTTAGTAAGAATCTGAAAAAAAAACATTCGTATAACTGAAAGGGCTCTCTATCAGAATTGTTAGGTCGAAAGATTTCAGCAAAACTGCTTGGATGAGGATCCGAAAAAAAATCAAGACCTTGAAAACCTGTTTGCTGGCTTCAATTTGAAACTTTAAGGGAAATATATTATTTGATAGAACAAAATGAGACGTATTCGACTTTTTCATGACCTTCCTTCCTATCCAACTGCATTCAATCTACAGAAAGTCTCAAAGTGTCGAACATGGTAAAGTTATTGAAATTTTCAATAAAAAGAAGAGAATAATACTTCCTGAATCTTTTGTAAATAAAATACAGTTCGATGAAGGAAGTTCATGGAGAAGTCGGAGGCATGTCATTTTACTCGATCAAATAAAATCTTTTTCTAAAAGCTTCGAATCGAAACCAGAAAGTAGGTTTTGGAAGCCTTGATTGTTTTACAGATCCTCAACCAAGCAGTTTTGCGAAAGTCTTGGGATCTAAAAATTCTGATAGAGAATGCTCTCAGCTACACAAATTTATTTTTCAGGTTCTTACTAGCTATTGTCATCAAGAAGAAAACTTGGAAAGACAGCTGCTTTAAACTGTTGTCCATCACTATGCATATCTGAAATACATGTTCATGAAATAATCTATTTGATTTATTGATAAGATGTTTATTAATTGCATTCAAAATCATAATGCTTTTTAAACTGAAATGATAACTATAATTCTTTGAAACCTATTTAGAAATTTCTTGTTTTTTAGTGACCTCTGCTTTAAAAAAGAAAATTTGTCTTTGTGTAGTTGCTGCCATAGAACAGATCGTTTAGATGGTGTTCTGTTGTCAACTTCTTTCTTTTTGAAGAAAAAAAAGAGGGAGAGAAAGAGGAGAAATAACAAAACAACAATCCATCATGTTTGTCGATTAACTGCTCTACTTACAAATTTAATTTTTCTTTCTTTTCTTTTATGCTTTAGGTAAATAAATTGGCAACGTAAAATGAACTAAGGATAAAATATGGGTGCCGCATCATGTAAAAGTTCAAAACCGGTTCCGGAAAAGCAACAAAAAGACGATAAGAAGTAGGTTAAAATAGTTAGTTAAAAAACATATTGCTCATACGGGTACTTGTTTATTATCGCGCTGTCAAATTTTTTTAATTTTTTTAAAATTGCTATTCTCAGACGGAACAAGATCACAACATATAAAAAGGGGATTAGGTGCGGGACTGTAGGTGCTTATGGAAAGAAGGGCCACATCCACATCCGCATCCCATACCTTCACACATGGCAACAAAACGAAAGAAGATATCGACAGAATCCCATACATGATGACGTCACAACAATAATAGAAAGAAAGAAAACATGTACTAGTCGTTATACTACCTAACAAGCAATTCAATATTATATAGGGCATGATAGGATTGATAATAAGATAACAGATAAAATAATACTCAAAAATTAAAAGATTTTGGCCGAGCGATAAGAAACAAGTACCATTTAATACGAATTGAAAACTATTTTTTACCGATGATTATCTCATGAGAAAGCCACTCCAGGCAATAAAAAGCTTTTGAGTTAAAGTTTTATTTACGCACAAGAAACGCATAGATTGTGCAGGAAAAAATCTATGAAGATATTGGAGAAAATTATGATTTAGCTGTAATATCAAATTTTAATCTAAAACTTGGCTCATATCAAGATCACAATCAGATAATAGAATGCAATATACTGTTTTTCGAATAACTTTTGATAGGAACAGCATAGAAACCTACAATTTTCACCATTCAAGAGAGAAATCCCAAGACTATCTACGTATAACAAAATTTAGTTTGCCAACAACTGACCAATCGCGAGACTTCTTTACAAAGATTCGACAAAATATATTCGGAAATCATTTCCCTTTAGACTTCGAGTTGATATACGATAAATTGATAGGGAAAGTTCTTCTCTTTCAATTTACGGAAGCTTCAATTTTCTAGTCCGCTTAGTTGAACAGTTACAATTATTTTCCCCGAGACCTCCAATTCCAGTAATTTGACCTTAGGAGAGTAGAAAAGGGCTAAAGACAACAGTATTTTTATCATGCTGAGTTGAATGGTGATGCTTTTTTGAAATTACAAAAGTACTGAAATAGTGGCTTCGGGTCGTTGTAAAAAGAGAAATGAACATCGCAACACTGAACTCGACATGATGAATTACTTCTGCTATGAACTTTTTCTTAGTCTCCGAAGATCAATTTACTGAAATTGGACGTCTCGGAAAAACCCTTTGTAACTCTTGAAGTCAACGGACTAGAAAATTAGAGCTTCCATAAATTGAAAGAGAAGAATTTTCCCTATCGATTTGTCCTACATCAACTTGAAGTCCAATGGAAAATAGTTTCAGAATATCTTTTGTCGAATCTTCGTAAAGAAGTATCCTAATTGGTCAGCTGTTGACCAATCAGATTTTGAAATACATGGATGGTTTCGGGATTTCTCTCTTGAATGGTAAAAACTGTAGGTCTCTATGATGTTCCCATCAAATGTTATTCGAAAAACAGTAGAGTGTATTCTATTCTCTGGTTGTGATCTTGATATGAGCCAAGTTTCAGATCAAAATTCAAAAATTTGAGTTTTCTGAGAAAGCGGAATATTGCAGAAAACTTATAATAACATGACGATATTATTATTACAGCTAAATTTCCTTAATGTATTCAATGTTGTGTACTCTGATAACTTTTGAGTCATTTAGATCTTGCAATATCCTTTCCTAAAATAACTTTTAATATAAACTAACAGAAATTTAACACAATATAGTATTTTCTCATGATAAGATCGTGTCTGAATTTAGATATTTAACTGGCAACAGATAGTTCTGAATAGCGTTTTGAAAATGGGTTCGACAAGCTTAGGAAGTAACTGTTAAGTTGTAACTCTGGAGAAAAGATTAATCTAGCATTAAATCCATTGTTTTGTTTTTCGATCAATAGTAACGATAAATGGCTGCACATGTAAAAGAAAATATTTGAGACATTCGATACTTTTCTAGCATGACATAAAAAAAAACCGTTTACGAAGAAGCTAAGTCAACTATCGAATGTCGTTCGAACTCATATTTACTCTATGAGTAAAACTCAGGAGAAATTAAGAACCTTCTAAAACGATTCTGATCTCTATATAATTCAGCTGGAGTTATCACCATTTTAGTTGCTTGTTTACCTTTATGTCAGCTATTCATAGAAAACTTTGTTGCTAAATTTCCATCTGAAATTTTGCCCAAAGGCAAGTCTCATAACCACTGCCATACCCTAAAACTTTCAACGCAAATGAATACATTTTTCTTGAGACATTGAGTATTCAACAACAAATTCTTATATATCGCAAGGCAAACTGAGAGTGTGTGTGTGTGTGGATTCATCTTATCTTAACTCCACTCACACCCACATCCACACCCTTATCCATTCATATAATCGCACCTTTTTTTTTGGAATAAAAATTAATTTAAAATATCAGAACTTTCTAATTCAAAATAATTTTCGTTAGGAACATCACTATCGGCGTATTTGGTCTTGATGATGCTGGTAATAAATCTTTGCTTGTTATACTTTTTTTTCCTTACATATGTATACTTTATTTAGGTAAAACATCAACAGTTAAAGCGATTGAAGGAGGTATAATATTCATTTCATATGTTCTCTTCGAATTGATTTTATATTCTAAAGATCCAACGGATGATGTTTCACCAACAATGGGTTCAAATTCAACAATGGTAACAGATCCATTGAATGGAAAAAATTATCGTAGTAATAAAAATCAACAGCATATACGAATGATTGATGTAAGTGGTGAGAGAAAATTTCGTCAATATTCATGGTCACAATATTATGATGAAATACATGGTTTAATATTTGTAATTGATGCAAGTGAACGAGATCGATTACGTGAGAATCAAGAAACTTTAGAAGATTTACTTGAAAACGATAAACTTAAAGATAAACCAATTCTTATGTAAGTTTGTTTTATTTTTTTTTATTTTCAAAAAAAAAAAAAAAACAAAAGAAAGAATTTTTCTTTCTTTAAAATTAGTTTGGCAAATAAACAAGATCAGAAAGGTGCTATTAGTAATGAATATGATTTAAAACGTAAACTTAATATTGAAAAATTAAAAGCAAAACATAAAATTGTAAGTTGCATAATTATATTTAAAAGAGAATTTTAATTAAAAATTTCTATTTAGGAATTATGTACAGCATTACCTCAAGATAATAAAAATAAAGTAGATGAATCAATTCGAAAAGGTTTTTCATGGTTAATTCGAACAATTGATGATAATTATACAGAATTAAATTTACGTGTTACGAAAGTAAAGAATAGTCGAACAAATAAAAAATTTAATCAATTTGACGATGATGAAAATGATAGTGATGAGAAATATTCAAAAGAAAAGCGTACTAATCATACAGCTAAAAATACAGATTATCATTCAAAAATTACTTCGGAAAAACTTCCAAGTATCTATACGAATAAAAACAAAATAAAAGCCGCTAGTGATGACGACGATGATGATGATAATATTAAATCATCTTCAACCAACGATTTTAATAAGAAAAAAAAAATAGTAGGTGGTAATAAGAGTAATGATACATCGATAAAAAGATCAACTAGTAATGATCCAAAAGCATTTCGATCAACATATGAATCATTTCCTGAAGAAACTCCATGGTCAACATCATCAACTCTTAAATTAACAAAGAGTGAAGATATGTTACCAAGATTTAGTACAAAATCATCCATAACAAATGATTCAAAACGACGAAATATGAGTCCTCTTGTACATGACACAAAGTCGTACACAAATGGTTCATTATCAAAACGAAATAATGCTAGTGATGATGAAGAAGATTATTATGGACAACAAAAATCAAAAGTAAATTTTTCAAAAAAAAGAGAAAATTTTTCTTGTTTATTGTTGTTTTTTCTTTGTAGTCAACAAATCGATTTGATAATACGTCTTTTTCAACAAATAAATTTTCTTCAAATATTAAAAAACCATCGTCAAGTATGTACGATGATGACGACGATGATGATGATATATATAATAAAACAAACAATCGTCCTACAATTACAACACCAAAAAAATCTTACGGTCGTCATGATGATGATGATGATGATGATGATGATGATGAAAATAATTATTTAAAAACATCAACAACAACTAAAACAATTAAAACTTACAACTATGATGATAACAGAAATTATCACCGATCATCCGATCGTTTAAATCTTAATAATGAATATCGAGGAACTGTATCAAAAACAACAAGTCGTACAAAATACAATGATGATGATGATGATGATGATGATGACGATGATAATCCAATATCTAAGCCAATAACACGTTCTACCTATAATAATGATTACTCAACATCAAAACCAATAAATCGTTCGAAATTTGAAGATAATCATTATTCATCAACAAAATCAATGACAAATTCAAAATATGAAGATGATGACTATCCGAATACATCAAAAAAATCGAATTATTCATCATCTTATAATAATAATTATGGTAACAATACTTCTCGATCTCGTTTTGAAGATGATGATTTTTTTACATCAAATGGTGAATCAAATAATGCTAATCGATTTCGAAAAAAAACAGATTATGACAGTTAAAATATTGTTTTTTTTGCTTGTGAAAAGTTTTGTTGAATTTTTCAAACTATAAAATCTCATAGTTTTTTTTTACCTAGAAGTGAAACAGAAATGACTTTCATATTATCTATAATACGGCGAATTGATTTGTTTTGTTATAAAAATAAAGATCTGCAATACAATAAAGGGTGTGGCATAAGTTCTGATTCCATCCGTATTTTGACNTAACCAATGCACAGTATTTGTACCTGTTTTTTTTATCATCTAGTACGTTTATTTTAAAAGCAAAGTATACAATAAGATGCAGCGTGACAAGCTCTACAAGTTGCATTAAAAAACTTATTTTATATATGCACTCTTCGTTTTTAAAATGGGTAAATATCTGTGCGACCAATTTCCGACGCTGCGAATAAGATGATTTATTTGTAGCACAGAATTTTACTTATTTTAAAAACAAAAGGTGCATCTATATATAATAAGTTGTTCTTGGTAAATTGTAGAGCTTTTCACGCTGCATCTTATGGTATACTTTGCTTTTAAAATAAACGTACTAGATGATAAAAAAAAAACAGATACAAATACTGGTCATTGATTATGGGACACCCGTTAGCTTCGATAGTTGGGTATTTTTTATGTGTTGGATAATTTTCATTTAATTTTTTTTTTCTTACCTTTCTACAGAAATAAATTTGATTATGATTTTGTAGAAAATTTCACGGGGCATCTTTTGGAAAAACAATCAACTTTAAAGATCAAAAAGAAAAAAAAAGTTATAGTCAAAATACGGATGGAATCAGAACTTATGCCACACCCTTTATTGTATTGCAGATCTTTATTTTTATAACAAAACAAATCAATTCGCCGTATTATAGATAATATGAAAGTCATTTCTGTTAAGATTTCTTTCTTTTATAGTTATATAAATTAAGACTTTGACTATTTCGTATATATGTTTCTGTTTATATCATGACACGTAATTGAATAAAAGTGCAAAGTATCTGTTTATTCTTACAAATCAGGAAATGATTTTCCTTTCATCTACAAGAAAATCAATCTATACTCTATTTGATTTCACTTGAGGCAGAAAAAATATCTACCTCATCAAGACTATTATTATAACATAAACTGAATTATATCGAATTTTGTATGTCAAATAAATCTTACTCAATCAAAAAGAAAAGCATAATATTAAATTCATAGAATAATTTTTTTTTCTATATAGACATATTTTTATGAGAAGTTAATTTTCATTAAAATACATTCATGTCAAATACATCGTTATTATTCTTTGAGTTTGCATTAATTATTTATCATCGAATATGTTAGCTAGTCGTAAAACAAGATGTTAAAATCTAACATTTGATTTTCTTTTCTTTTTATCATTTTGTTTTGTAAAATAAAAATACACATGACAATTAAAAAGAAAAAAATTAAAATAAAATCAACCGAATTCTTTACAATCACTGGGAAGTGAATAGAGCAAAAGAAAACTTTTGATGCTTTTTTTTTGCATTGATAATTCAAATACGATGGATTGTTTTAAGTAAAAGGAGATAAAAGTTGACTAAGTAATTCATTTTTCGATAAAGCTTTAACAAAATTTTCTTTTGTTATAAGACCTTGTTCATTACAATGACATGAAGCAATGAAATGTTTGAGCAATTCAACCGATTGTAAATCATTACCATTACCACCTAACATTCGTAAAACATACTAAAATTAGATAAATATATAAGATTTTTTTTCTCTTTATTAAATAATTTCAATTTCAAATACCTTAGCCATAATATCAATCTCAGACTGATCAATATAACCATCTTTGTCTATATCTAAAAATAATAAACAAAAATCATTTGTTTTTTTTCTTCTTTTCTTTCGATATTCAAATGAATATTTTATACCATAAAGTTGAAAAGTATAATCAAGTTTTTCTTCTATTGTACCTTTTGTTGTTAATAAAAATCCAATAGCAAATTCTTTAAAATCTATTTATATATAAAATATATTTTAGAATATAGAAATAATTTTAAAAAAATAATATTTTCCTACCAACTTTACCATCGTTATCTGTATCAAATGCTTCATATATAGCATTAACAACATGTTCAATTTTATCTATGTCGCATGTACTTAATTCTTTATAACATTTTAGCATATCTTTTTTTGTCATTTTACCATTTGGACATCGTGCCTAAATGACACATAATAAATATATAAGAATTTATTATTATTTTTGCTATAAAAGACTACATTGTGCACTAATGGCAAGAAAATTCTCATAGAATTCATTAGAACATAATGAAAATTGTGTCTATTGAAAAGACACAAGAATAATGTCTTTCTTTTTTTCTTTGTTCAACTTATAAGAAAAACACTCTATGATAGACATATGTGAAGTTTTTTTTTTTTTTTAATTTCTCTTTATTGTTATATAGTCAGTGATCCATTAAAGAAAGAATATGTTGCACCAGACGCGACAGTATTTGTTTTTCTATACTAACAAACTATATTGAGTCGTTGATTACTGGGTCCGTATATATGCGTGCTAAGCTTTTATGCAAATTGTAACTTTTACAATCTTCGTATTTTCTTCGGTCATAGAATATTCTCTATTTCTCTTGTTCTTTTAATATCACAACATTATTATATGATGTCACTGTATATGTATATCAAATGTAGACGAAGGAATCGACAACTAAGAAGTCGATGAGAACTCATAGCCTCTCGTTCGATCTGAGTCGTTTAAAGTCTTGTGGAATTCAACAAAAACTCGTAAAAATGTATAGAATTATAAAACGTTACGATTACTGCTGTAGCTCTAATTATTACAGAAGATCAACCGTTCAGTTTTATTGGATATATATAATCCTATGGAACCATAGGATTATCTATGAAGCGATGCAATGGTTTCATAAAGGTTTCAGAGAACTCTATTGGATTCTGCAACTATTAAATGTTATGATTTTGACTGAAGCTTAACGCAATCCGTTGTTTTCTCGTGATGCATATAATCGATTCCAGACTTTTACGAGCAAATCGACATTTTTTTCATCCTTCCAAAAATATCGTAACCAAAGGATTAACAAGATCCCTATGATTTACATTCTATGAATTCTTTTGCATTCTTTGAGTTTTCATCGAAAAGAAATCGGAAATTTCTTCTATTCAATATAAAAAAATAGAAACCTATTGTAAATTAGTTAACTGAATATCAACAAAGACATTTATATAAATTTTACCTTGAGTTCGTTAAACCAGTCTGTGATTTCAGAAGATTTCATTCTTGTTTTACGTTTAATCATAGTTACTGTGCTATCGTCCAGCGTGGTCGAACTGAAGTGTGAACCCATGTATAGACCATACACTGGGAGAAATGCTCGATCTTGAAAATAAAAGAGAGAGAAAAAAATTTCATAGATGCACTAGAAAGCTTCTGAAATTGAAAACGTAGAAGAAAAATAAATGTCAGATACATTCTTTTTTTTTTCTTGTCCATTTTTACGTCAATCAACCTACATATTTATTTTTGATTGACGTCATCGGATTCTTGTACCTGTTTTTTTTATTGTTACGGTCTGTACAACCACTGTCTATACATAATTAATAGTTCTCCGCATGCACGTAATTTTGTTGTTACATTTTAATATAAATAACTAATACATAATAAAATTATATTAAATAAGGTTATATATACACCTATGTATACGCGGAAAGATATCTTCCTTTTGCATTTATAATAAGGTGAGATTGAAAAATAACATACTTTTCGGTTACATAGTCACATGTCGAAATAATTATTTGAAGAAGAAAAAAAACGAAAAACATACTTGTCGTTACGTATCCGAGTATGTTTTAAACACCAGATTGAATAAAAAATAATAATATGAGAAAAGAGAACAAAAAGAAAGATGAATAGCATATACTAACATAGTTATTTAATAGACTAACTTATAGATATGTTTGTGTGCTAGTAAATAAGATTCATTTGAAGTCAACTAGATTATTTTTTTTTTCTTATTCATATTCAATAATTGAAATCATGCACGCTTTTCATATTTTTTATCTGAGCTGCTGATAACGATAGTTCCTGTAAAACAAATAACCTACTGTTACTGCTATGTGCAAATGCCAATGCTGAAGAAAAGAATTGTTTCCTGTATAAAAAAAAATCACTTTCCTTTACGCATTTATATTAGCGTTAGCAAATACAAAAGAGAAGAAGACGACGAAGAAGAAGAAAATGCTTAAAGGTTCTCTTGGTTTTTTTAAGACTTAGAATTAGTCAATGTTTGAGTATAATAGACATTATGATAACAGCTTAGCACAGAAAAATTTCTAGAAAAAAAAAAGTCTAAAACAAATATTAAAAAGAAGCATGAAATAATAAAAGAAAACAACTATCGTTCTGGATGATTGAGAAAAAAGAATAAGTATGAATTACGTCGTTGAATGAATGATTAAAAACATCCTAGTCATAGTATGAAAATGACATTTTTTTGCTAAATTGTGTCTTTTTTTTAAAGTTCTTATGCACGCATACCTGTTACTGTGTGTTTTCTTTCTTTGCAACAGCCAAAAGACATTAAAAAAAGAAGAAAAACCGAGAAAAAAAGAAGAACAGAAAATATATGATAATCGCCATCATCGTGGTTCGTTGTGACTGCTGCCATAAGCTCATATACACATGAATGGAAAGATGTTAGGCGTGAAGCAAAGGACAAAGATAAGAAGGCATAGGAAAACGCAATGCGCAAAAATGCTTTCTTTCGGACGACTAATGAGCATAACTACCGCGTGTAATGAACCGTAACTTATTTGTAACTGACAATGTTATTGTTGTGCTTGAGTTTTTCTTTTTTTTTTTTTCTTGCTTAACTAAATATGATATTCTTCATATTTCTTGTTAATAACGGTGAATGCAATGTTTTTAGACATAATTGCAAAAACAGTACGTACCTCAAATAAGCTACATTGAAAATTTATTAAGTAAACTCTAAGATTTATTCTACATTAATAGAAATTTGATCACGATGTTGCTGTCATATCTAATTGAAAAATGTCTATATGAACAGCTCCACATATGCCTGTTAAGAAAATTTACATAACAGCAAGAATTGCGAGGCAAATATTTTTGTTATGAAAATACAAATAGCTTGATTTCAAAAACAAGGAATTATTTTATACCCCTGACAGATTTGTATTACTGAGCTAACAATAAACAAACTTCAACTTCAATCTAGAAGTAATAATAAAACTTGTAATGAACCGCTGAGAGTTTTTTTTCTTCTTCTTTATGCACTAACTGTGTATTTCAATTATTTTGTTTCTCAAATCGTATCTTGATACTTTAAAAAAAAAAAAAAAAAACTTGTTATCAGTGCCGACAAAAACAAAACAAAATAAATATTTCATTCTATCATAATAATATTCTCGAAGTAAATCATACTTCTTGGACCGTTTCATGAAGAAGAAGCAAAAAAATAAGATTTGAAAATTAGAATAGTATTTACCTGATGATGCAAATGAAGTTTCTTTTTAGTTAATGTTATTTTTTGAATTTAATGGACACAAAATAATTATCAGAATGAAAAATATGTAAGAAAAAAGAAAAGCAAAATGATGAAGAAACAGAAGGAAGAACGCCACTAAGCAACCCGACTACGCTCGTTACTCGATCCAGACTGACAGTTTTTCTCTTTTTTTACCAAGCGTATGACATGTTTCGCATCAAGATTTTTCTTTTTGCATGTATTATACTAACTAATAGAAAACAGTTCGTGCTCTACTTTCCTTATTCAAAACTAAAAATTATATAAAAATTAGTTTTTGAAATCAAACTATCATATATGATGATAAAAAAGTATTTTGTATTTTGACATTACTTTTCTATTTGATTCAATTCTATTTTATGATCATCTTACTTTAATAAAGTAAGATAGGAGAATGAATTCTATTTATTATAATGAAACAAAAGTAACATTGCTTAAATATAATATTGTGTTGTGATATTTAAGTACTGATAAAAGAAGTTTGTTTTACATATGAAAACAATACTTATAAAGTAGAACATAATGCTGTTTTCTATTGAAAAGAAAATGAATTGTAAGACCTGTGATTATTAAGTTCAAATACGGATTCAAGAAAAAAAAAAAGAACTTTTTTATTTAGTATATAATTAAAATTTATAACAATCTAAATTAATTTCATCAATATAATTGGTTGAAAGATTATTTGACTCCACAGCATGTTCCTAGAAATAATGGATTAACATATATTCCATTTATTTAAAAGAAATATTCAATGAGATTATTATATCTTTTGATTATGACTTTCTTGGTTAGATCTCATATAAAATAAATAAAATTTAATAATAATAATAATAATATTCTTTTTTTTAATGTCATATTTACTTGTAACTATCTTGTTAGAAAACGCGAAGTATTGATCGTCTTTTCCTAGAAACTATTCAGCATGACATAGAATAAAATACATTTGAAAACAAATAAAATCATATCCACAGTCTATTTCACCATAAGTAAAAATATTTTCATAATTAAATTCTATTTTTCTCAAAAGAAAACATGTTTTCTTTGAATAAGAAAACTACTTTTATTTATAGTCATAAATTAAAGTATCAAGACTAATTGACTGTATAATCTTTAGTTTTTTTTTTTTGTTATGTAAGTCAATGAGACTTCTTTAGTTCAATGTAAAAAAAACGTTTCTCTACAAGAACTCTTATCTATGAAATCACGTATAATGCTTTATTTCTTTAATCCTTATTGATTGCATGTCAAACTAACCCTTTCATGTTAAAAATTTTCATGCATAGGTTATAGAGTTCAATATATATTCACATATATTTGTGTTCAGCAGTTTTATCTCGTTAGAATTAAAACTATTGAATATATAAGAAAAAAGTTTCGGCATTATTCAATGGACCATATGAGTAAAGTTTAAAGATGTACTTTGTTTATACAAAAAATAAGTTATGTTTTTTTTTTTGTAATTATCGATAATAAGTTTTAATTATAATAATCAAAATATTTCGACTCAATAATTCTTGATATTTTGTCTTTCGTGTAATTTTTGCACTGTATGATTTACTCGTGAGTCTTAGTGATTAAAAAACAAGTATAGCAGATAATAGTTTGAGAAAACAAACAAATAAACAAACAAAAAATAAAATGAGATATTACATCAAGAGAAAATTAAATGATGCTATTAATTTGCACATCAATGAATATTTCTTCTTATTTTTTTTTTTTTTTTTTCAAAATCCATTTCAATATACTTTGTGTCATTCTTTGAGATGTAAAAACAAAAGAAAACAAATGACTAGTAAGCAAAGCAAGAAAAGAAAAAAGAAGAAGATTATAATTGCACGATCATATTTCATTTCTGTCTACCATAGTTCTATAAATTCGACACCAGTCCAATTTTCTTCACGTTTTTTCCAATAATTATGTTGTGAATCTTCATCACGAATAAGAATAAATGAATCACCGTCACGTTTAAACCATTTAGGAGATAGATCATTGCCACTACGTTTGCGTTGAGCTTGTTCTATACGAGCTTTTTCTTTTTCAGCTTTTTCGATTTGTCCAGCTTCGAGTAAACTAATATTAAACAAAACAAGGAAATAATTAAATTTAGATTAGAACAAAATAAATCAACAAACCGTTGATCAGGTCGAAAACGGGTATCTGTGGGTGGTAGTTGCTTTCGAAGATCATCATCAAGTTCATTTAATTCTATAGCAAACCGAGTAAAACCATAATATTGTTTCGAATTTTCAGGTACAGCACCTAGATAAAATTTAAAACATCACTTTTAAAACCAGTGAACACATATACAAAGTTACCAATACCAATCAAATATGCGTGAGGATTAGATATATTGTCATCTCAATCCACTCTCATATTGCGTAGTTCTTTAGAAATCAAAGCAACTGTAATCCATAATATAAGCACATATGGGAATGAAGGAACAATACTCCTACCTTTCAGCTATCTTCCAGCATGGGATGCTACCTAGCGGCAGACTCATTAGTCAGAAATCTTCCATTACAACTATTAATAGCTGTGGTTATTGCCAAAAGATCAGTGTAATAAAAAGTTCTTGCTCTCAATTCCTTGGCCTCCCCATACGCACTAGCCACAAGAGCAGATGTATGTCACAATGCAGTTAACATCCTATTGGATGGGTGGTCGGAGACAAATTATTGCTAGTAACTTACCCAAGATCATTCTATGGCAAGTGATAGTAAAGTTTGTACATAGTATTTTGGTAGGTACGTGTCGAACAATATAGCCACTCAACTATGACGGTAGGCCTGTGGAGCCGAGTT